ACCCATTCTTCCTCCTTCCACTCATGACCAGCTAACAACAGTCGCTCAATGTAAGCAACTCTTGGATCCTCAACTTCATCATCCCATGACAGGGATGGAGGACAAATATTGTCCTCTGGTTTCACAAGATAGGTTACCTCAACCTACACCAATAAGTTTGTTAACCACTTAGAGAATGTACACTTACTTTTTAAATAATGTACGTACATAAACAATTGTACATACCTCTTCAGCAGCCTCACACTCCAAGATGTTGGATGTCCTGATTGCCCGCAGTGAGGCAAGATGATGGATAGACCTCTGAGTAAATGTCCTGTTAGCTTCATCATCAGGTACTAGCTTAGCAAGGGATGGGATTGTTTCGAACGCAAACAGCTGGAGTGCTAATGGGAATCCATGTAGTGCATAAGACCCATCCTTTACACACCTTATCAGTTTTTGAGCATCTGAAGGGGTTTGGAATTTTGCTATCCTCTCCAAAGTACGGGTAAAAGACACCCTTCCCCAAGGGTATTTGCAGAAGAATTACACGTTCTTCGTCATCTCAACAGTGAACTGAGTAGGCCTTATGGGGTTATTATGGCACCCTATCACACCATCTACCAAGATTATAAGAGATAAGGCCAGCTGCTTCCACCCATCCATGTTTTCCTCCCCCTTCAGCCAGACCACCAAATCATGCACTGTTGGATTCGGATTCGTCCCAAACTTCTCCTCAAACAGAGTTTTCCAGACACTTTGACTCCCAGCTTTGACCTTTAGCACATTCGTCACGTCTTTCTTGTTGGGATACGTCCCACATTCTAGACCAGTTACCAGACTAAATTCTCTTAATCCGAATTTTATTGGATGACCGCCGAAGACCATCCACATCTCATTCACTTTACTCGTCACTAACTGACGACATATTAGTCCAAGAACAAGCTTACCTGAGAAGGAAGACTTGTTAGCAGGTATCCTAAAAAGGTCCCCAAATGGAGATTCGAGAAGAAACTTCATCTCCTCTTTTCCCTTAAGAACTTGCGCTATGTCAGAAAGGTACTCCGGTTTGGAGTACGCGTTCATCTTC